GAATAATTATTTTTAGGGCCACTGCTAGGTTTAAGGATGTTAGAAAACAAGTCTGATAGGTGATAATCCCTTAGATTTATTTTTAACTGATGCAATAAATGTCTGTGATGAATCTGGGCCCCATAAGATTTATTATTATATATTATTCATTGGGGTATTTTATCTTTTTAAAAACATTTTTATTGTTTTTACTTTTTGAGACATCATAGCTATAGAGAGATTATTAATTGGTATTTGATAAAAACATTTTAGGAATTAGAATATAACAGGAGTGATAAAGCAACTACTTATCTGAACCAGAGTTGCTATCATATGTAAGCAGAGTCAAAATATCAGCCACAGATCAGGATTTGCAGAAAGTTAACATCTTTAATTTGCCAAAGAATTAGTAATAATAATGTCTAATTTACTACTCACTGATAAATTATCCAAAATATGATTTTTGGAAATTATCTGAAATATAATTTTTACTCAAAATTTAGCATGGTAAGGAACATGCAAATGGGGCAGGCTACTCTTATATAGAATTCTTTCTTTATAGTATCAATCTCAGTGTAGCTCCTACGTGGCAAATGTCATGAGTAAATGCTTTGTGTCTTACAGTTTGAGATACACTAGTTTCTATGATCCCATGCAGTTTAACTATGTTGAAAGTACCTCATTGACACAAGTTTATTTATACTGAAAACAACATAATCACATTATGTTAACCTTGCCTGGTTATTGTGAGGATTAAATGAGATGATGTTTGTTAAATACTTGGCATAATGCGTGTATCATTTAGACTTTTCTGTATAACAAACCACTCCAGAACTTAGTAGATTAAAACAAAAAGACGTGTATTATTTCTTGAGAATCTCTGGATTATCTGGGTGGGTCAGATAGTCCAGAGATTCTCAAGAAATAATACATGTTTGTTGTTTTAATCTACTAAAATAAGAAATATTACTTCCCTGTTCCCCCAACTAAAAACAAAGCAGCCACCAGATATGTGAGTGTAGGGTAGCCTCACTGTAGGATAGCCTCACTGTAGGATAGCCTCACTGTAGGATAGCCTCACTGTAGGATAGCCTCACTGTAGGATAGCCTCACTGTAGGATAGGATAGCCTCACTGTAGGATAGGATAGCCTCACTGTAGGATAGCCTCAGTGTAGGATAGCCTCAGTGTAGGATAGCCTCAGTGTAGGATAGCCTCAGTGTAGGATAGCCTCAGTGTAGGATAGCCTCAGTGTAGGATAGCCTCAGTGTAGGATAGCCTCACTGTAGGATAGCCTCACTGTAGGATAGCCTCACTGTAGGATAGCCTCACTGTAGGATAGGATAGCCTCACTGTAGGATAGGATAGCCTCACTGTAGGATAGCCTCACTGTAGGATAGCCTCAGTGTAGGATAGCCTCAGTGTAGGATAGCCTCAGTGTAGGATAGCCTCACTGTAGGATAGCCTCAGTGTAGGATAGCCTCACTGTAGGATAGCCTCACTGTAGGATAGCCTCACTGTAGGATAGCCTCACTGTAGGATAGCCTCACTGTAGGATAGCCTCACTGTAGGATAGCCTCACTCACATATCTGGTGGCTGCTTTGTTTTCAGTTGGGGGAACAGAGAAGACTTGACCATTGGTTTTTTACCAAGCAGCAGTGTTGACAAGAGCAGTACGATATGCCAATACCCAATGCACAAGGACCTTACAAGTCTGCTCGTATCCCATTTACTATGGCTATTATTTCACTGGCTGTGGGAAGTCACATCGCCAAGCCCAGAATGAGGGTAAGAGATGAATAACTGAGAGTACTGATGCAGGGACACCAAATGTTTTGGCCATGTTTGTAGACTACCATCCATACTACCTGACAAGTGGTATGTGTTTCATAAATGAGTTATCTTTATTATGAATACTTTCATCAAAAATATATCAATAACATAGAAGAAAAGACATATTTACTAGGGATCAATAGGCTTCTGAGATTACCTTGGAGATCTATATATTAGACTGTCTACTTTCTGAATAAACACCATATTCTCTTCCAGATATGAATGGTATAGAAACATTAGTATTTAAGTGTATGCATTCAGAATAAACTGTGTTGCTGAATTATATTCAATATTTACTGCTTTAATCTGGTTCCCCTTCACTTACTGGAGACATTAAATGTAGATTAAGGATGCAAACTTGGTAACTAAATTTTCTGTGTTTAGGTATTGGCTGACTTTCTAGCAATGTGAGATATAGCAGATACTTAATTCTTTGTGTCTCAGCATCCTCATCTGTAAAATGAGAGATGTTAATAGAATGTAACTCATATGGTTTGGATGAGAATTAATGTGTGTATGTTTATCTAGCATTTAGGACAAATCAGTGCCTGTCACAGAGTGAGCGTTAATTATTAGCCATTATTATAATTATTTACAAGTGACTCTGAATCATCTAAATGTGAATTGGATTATTCATGGATAACTGAGCATGCTTTAGTAATGCTTTCTCATGTCTCTATTCAATGTGTTTTATAGAATTCAAATTCAAATATTAATTGAATTTTATTCAGTAATAAACTATTAGTATTCAAAAGAGAGAACTCTTCCTAAAGATTAGTTCTAGAATAATTACCTCATTTTTAAGTTCTCACAATGATTGATTTTCTGAGGAACCCAGAGCTGGTCAATTGCCTGCCTAGAACTAAAATACTGGTCTTGAAACTTCTAATTTGTTGTAATGTATACATTTTCTACTGCATGCATTACTCATGAATGAATATTTGAAATGAATACATTTAATTAGTAATTGGTTGAATAAATGCAGAATTTCGACATTAAAATATTCTTTTTTAAGATGTTAGTTATGGAATATTTGGTAGATGCAAAGTTGCTGCCTATGCTTTGTTCTTAATTTGAGGAAGGTTTAATTGAGATCTTGAACTTAAATTTGAAAACTGTTTTCATTTCAAATTTGCCATAATTTAGTGTCCCTCTAGTGTAGGGTTTAAACATTTTTGACCCTTCTAAGCTGACCTCTGGAATTCTTTAAAAACACATATGTAGGTGTTGTGTAGTTTGATTTCCCAGTGCCTTGAATCTTAGAAAGGAATTAATGTTGTAAAATAAGTATGATCTTTGTTTTTAGTTTGTTTTGGACTTAAAGGTCATTCTGGAACAAATGAGTTCACAAAGATGACATAGCAGCAAAGCAAATACTGGCAATTGGGGCAGAATTTGAGCTTCTGGATAAAAATTCAAATTGGCCAACATAAAATAAAATAAAATTAAATTAAATTGAAAGTGGGGGGATAGTATACATGGCCTCAGTTCCGGATGTCCCATTTATGATTTCAAGGTGACATTCTGTGACTGACTAAAGGGTCAGGTTAAGAAGTCAGTGTCCATAAGATATTGTAAAAAATCTCAAGCAGAGGCTTATACTAAAAGATCAGTTCTTTTGAAAGAGAGCTTTTCACTTGTTTGGAAGTTTCTGAACTCATGAAACAAACCAAGGTGGGGAATCTGGGTTCTTTCCCCCCCACTGTCTTTACCCCATCTGAATTGAGTGTTTCTCTAGGACTGCTTCCACAGTGAGGTAAACTCCAGGGCAGAGGGGTTGCTTCAAAGTAAATGAGGCCCTTAATTTATCATAAAAATGAAGACTAGTTGTTAAGGTTTTATTGGATTACAATAAAGCCTCCTAGCACTAGGAGTCTGTGGTTTGATTCCCGGCATCACTGGGGGAGCTTGAAATCATAACCACAGATTATAGCAATGAGCTTCCAAATTTCCATATCCTAAGCAAAGATGCTGCTTTCCTGGAGCTGATGTGGAATTACATGCTCTGTGATTTTAGGATATGTATTGGAAAATTTTCTGTTTGGATATCATTTCAGGAGGGCTGTGATTCTCCAATCACCTCTGTGGTCACAGCTTCAACGTTCCTAAAAAAGAAAAAGAAACAAAAAATAATAAAACAAAACAAAAGATGATTGTTGTAACTCCCTTGAGTCTGCCCTCTTGTACAGCTCAAATGTTTTCATTAATTTTTTTTTTTCTTTCAGTGAGTTCAGTAAAAGTTCTTACCAGGTCATTTTAGGTTGTAGCAGTAGCTTAAGCAGATCTTTTAGGTCTACCTCTCTTACCAAACTCCCTTTGATAAGATTGTGTTTTATCAGATAAATAGACTTTACAATCTGCCCTCTCTCATGTAAATTGTACATATATATAGTAAAAAATATATACACATATATAAAAATAAATAAATCTCTGGTCAACATGGTGAAACCTTGTCTCTATTAAAAATACAAAAAATTAGCCCAGCATGGTGGTGTATGCCTGTAATCCCAGCTATTCGGGAGGCTGAGGCAGGCAAACAGCTTGAACCCAGGAGGTGGAGATTGCAGTGAACCAAGATGGAGCCATTGCACTCCAGTCTGGGCAACAGAGCAAGTCTCCATCTTGAGACAATAAATAAATAAATCTACATATATGCATATACCATATATATGACTACAATTACAATTATTTAGTGATATATATTTATGTGCATATATTTATATACTTTTATGGCTTGGCAGAGAGACTGTATTGGACCATACTGAAATGAAGGAATGAGTAAGTGGAAGATATTGCAGGTGATTCATGACTATCTGAGGCTGATGGTGTGGGTGGTAAAAGAATTTACCAAGACAGTTGTAGGTAAAGAAAGACAGATTCATTAAAGTATGAAAATATGTCACAAGGGTGCAATGGGCAGATGAGTAAGAGAGGGGCTGACTGCAAGGAGACAAAGGCTTGCTGGGGATTTTATAGGATGGTGTTGTATGCTGAAGAGGGCTTTGTGCCATACTGATAATGCCAATGTTGCAGTGAGCTAACTTGCAGTTTTTTATCAGCCGAGGGTCTGGTGATAGCTGGGTCCAGGAAGATTGTGTGTTATTTGTGCAGTAGGGCATGTCCTGGGCCATGAAGCAAGGCAAGACAGACTCATAGCCTATCTGCTTCCTCTTTTTGCTTTTCCTCAGTCCCACCAGCCTGACTTCTTTTTCCTGATTAGGACTCCACAGAAGATATAAACAGGTACATTTTATTTTCCTTCTTGTAAGATATATATGATTGAACTGGTAAGAAAAAATAATGTCATTTTGAGCTTCTTTCTCAGATTCATTGGTACATACGCATGTATTTAACCAAATGGGAACAAAATCTATAAAAACTCATGCGTACACCCATCACACTGCCCGAAATTCCTGGCTGTATTTGTTCTTCATTATCTAGCCTTAGAACTATCCAGCATTGTAGGAAGCCTTGTTTTCCTTTTCACAGTTGAGGGGAGAAGCTGATCTTTCTGGGAAGGACAGTCAATGCCTAGGGTTCTGTCTTTTGCCTGGTCCATTGACAATTTCAGTTTTCTTCCTCCATTTCTGAATATGAGCAAATCATTTGGTGTTTTCTCTCCATAATTAGGGTGCTCTTTTCTAAAAAAGCATAAATTGCAGAAAACTCAGATTTAAACAATAAGGAAGTATCTTATCTCACAGAAGTGGAAATCCAGAAATAGGGTCCTGGAGTGCTTCCACTAGTGGCTCAATAATGTCACCAAGGACTTTGGCTGATGAGTTTTTGTTCCCAAATTTTCATTTCTTCTCTCTAAGAGGATTAAATGTTTCTGGCTATGGTCACATGACTTGCCCTGTCCCTGTGAGAAGAGGATTCTATGCTCCCCTCACTCCCCTCACTCCCCCATGCACACCACCTTAGCCTCACCTTATTGACTTGGAGCTTAGCCTATAACATGTTCTGGACAGTACACAGAGAGCAAGCATGTCACATCCACATAGAAAGTTTTAAGGAGTAGTTTGGCTGTGCTTCCACTAGTGAACGTGTGCTTCCTTAAGCCACTAACACACTGGAGTTGTTTATGGTTTCAGGAAAAGCTAAATTTTGAATCCAGTGTTCTTCCATACCTCCATCTCTGTCACTGGCAGTAAAGTCTGCTTTCTAAAGCTCATTTTCCTTGTGGAAGAAGGACAGAAGCAGATTCAGGCTTCACCTCCAGATGTGACAATAGCCAGAGGCAGAAAGGGGTGTATTAGTCTGTTTTCATGCTGCTATTAAAGACATACCCTAGACTGGGCAGAAACAGAGGTTTAGTCAGACTTACAGTTCCACATGGCTGGGGAGACCTCCGAATCATGTCAGAAGGTGAAAGATGCTTTTTACATGGTGGCAGCAAGAGAGAATGAGGAAGAAGCATAAGCAAAATCCCTGATAAACACATTGGATCTCGTGAGACTAATTCACTATTATGAGAATAGCATGGGATAGACTGGCTGTCATGATTCAATTACCTCCCCCTGGGTCCCTCCCACAACACATTGGAATTCTGGGAGATACAATTCAAGTTGAGATTTTGGTGGGGACACAGGCAAATATCATCAGGGACTGTCTCACTCTGTGTTTCCTTAGGAGAAGAAACATTTTGCAGAAGCCACATGGCAGACCTCTGTTGGAGCCTCAGTTAGTTTAACTTCACCTTGAACTTCATCATTGGCAAGAAAAACAGTATCACCATGACTGACCTATGTCAATCAGGGCTTTCCCTCAGCAGGAATAGCTTGCCCTCTTTTGAATCATATGTGTAGGGTGGGGTGGGGTGATAATAATTAGATACCTAAACAAAATGAGGCTTTCGCTAACCAGGAAATTGATAAGCAACTTCAAATACTCAGTACACTCTGCTTCCTCTCTGACTTTTCTTAGACCTGTTCTTTGCCTTTGTCTTCTCCCTGACCACCCCCATCACTCTCCCATCCACCCATCAGTTATCCCTGTCATTTTCTCTTTTTTCTTTATTTTTCTCTTTTTGTCATCCTGTAACTTGCACCCTGCTTCCCTCAACATATAAGATATTTATAAAAGAGAGACACTGGTCAGGGTTTATGGAGGAAAAGTTTTTCAAATTCATTTTTGTTTCTCACTGATACGGTTTGGCTATATCCCCACTCAAATCTCACCTTGAATTGTAGCTCCCATAATTCCCATGTGTTGTGGGAAGGGACCCAGTGGGAGCTAATTGAATCATGGGTGTGGTTTCCCCATATTGTTTTCATGGTAATGAATAAGTCTCATGAGATCTGATGAGGATATAAAAAGGGGAATTCCCCTTCACTTGGTTTTCATTCTCTCTTGTCTGCTACCATATAAGATGTGCCTTTCACCTTCCACTATGACTGTGTGGCCTCCCAGCTCCCAGGCCATGTGCAATTGTAAGTCCATTAAACTTCTTTTTCTTTATAACTTGCCAAGTCTTGGATATGTCTTTATAAGCAGCATGAAACAGACTAATACACTCACCTAAGTTCAGTCCAGAATCAGCTCACCAATGCACTGGTGCAACCTGAAGTCTTGGTTCCTAAGAGGTTCTGAATTCACCTGTATTCCATAGAGCTTTACTATTCAGTCTCAGAGGTTTTTTCATTGTGCCAGGTTTTTGAGGATTAGAGAGAAGAGGGAACTGTTCCTTATTTTCAATTTGTAAGGCCTGCAATTGAGACCTAGGACTCTAGGGGAGGTGACAATTCTCAGTGAGAGTGCCGGCTACCTCTGGATACTCCCAATATTCTGAGCAACGGTTTTTAGGTTTTCCTGAAATATCCTGTTTGTGTCCCAACTTTCAGCCTTAGTTCAAAGGCCAGAGCAAGAGCCTCAAATGATAAATTTCTAGGAAGCTTCAGGGAAAGGTGAAAAACAGGAGCTTGAACAAACATAGAGTATTCCATTATAACACATGGATTTTCCAGAACAGTATTCACAGGCCTGTGGTCCATTGAATATTATTCTTAATAGTTCTTGAAAACAAACAAACACACCTGTATGTACTGAAAGTGTTTGCCAAAATACATCTTAAGTGTTTTCTCTTTTTAAAGTTAAGTGTGATGTCACTTCTTTTTTGCCATAATATCGAACATATTATTTTCTTTTTCAAAGGTAGAACAGTACAGAGATTGATTGCTAAATTTCTAGAAACAGACTGCCTGTATTAGGGTTCTCTAGAGGCACAGGACTAATAGGATAGATGTATATATGAAAGGGAGTTTATTAAGGAATATTGACTCACATGATCAAAAGGTGCAGTCCCACAATAGGCCATTTGCAAGCTGAGGAGCTAGGAAGCCAGTCTGAGTCCCAAAACCTCAAAAGTAGGGAAGATGACAGTGCTGGAAAACCACTGCTGTAGGTCCAAGGGTCCAAAAGCTGAAGAACTTGGAGTCTGATGTTCAAGGGCAGGAAGCAGCCAGCAAGAGAGAAAGATGGAGGCCAGACGACTTAGCCAGTCTTTCCACATGCCTCTGCCTGTTTTTATTCTAGTCATGCTGGTAGCTGATTAGATGGTGCCCACCCAGATTAAGGTGGTTCTGCCTCTCCTAGTCCATTGACTGTAATGTTAATCTCCTTTGGCAGCACCCTCACAAACACACCCAGGAACCATACTTTACATCCTTCAATCCAATCAAGTTGACACTCAATATTAACCATTACACTGCATAAGATTTATCCCACCCAACCTTAGCATTTAATATCTATCCTAGCTCCTTTGTGCCTCAGTTTCCTCATTGATAAAACTGGGTTACTAATATGTATTTGCATAGTAACAAAATGAGATGTTATGTAGTAAATATCATGTAAGAATTGTTATTGTCAATCAATCTCTTTCTTTTTCTTTCCTCCATTTCTTTTCTCCCCCTTTTTAAACCCCAAATGCAGTGTTTTATAGTTAGTTGAATTTTCAGGAGAGGTAGATCTTTGTACAGTAGTTCCCCCACTAGTCCATTGGGGAAATAGTTCAAGACCCCCAGTGGATACCTGAAACCTTAGATAATATGATACCCTCTATGTGCTATAATTTTTCTTATGCATACATACCTATGTTAAAGTTTAATTTATAAATTAGGCACAAGACTCTTGTACTTGGGAACCATTATGAAGTAAAACAAGGATTACTTGAACATGAGCACTGCAATACCTGGATAGTTAACATTAAAATAGAAGACTATATTATGGGGCACAGAGTAGCACACCATAGTTGACAGTGGCACCAGTGATGTGGTTATTGATCATGGAGCGTGGTTGACAGTGGCACTGGTGATGTGGTCATTGATTATGGAGCATGGCTCAAAAAATTGAGCAGCTTTTTTTCCCCATGGCACCTCTCCTGACCTGTCCCTTCTCGTGGTCATAGCTAACTTGGGGCAGACATAAAAGGCATTTGTGAATTTTTGAATGTAGGTCTGGGTGAGAATTTGTGTCATCTTCACCCCTAGATTGAAGGAAATAGTAGTGGCCTGAGCTGTTGCAATCTCAGTCTTGCATCCTGACATCCTTTGACATTCTGGGGTACCTTGTAAATCTCTTCCACCTGCTATGATGGGGGCTATGATATGGTATGTTTTTGCCACCACATCCACCTTCTCTTTCCTGCTACTACCACTGCCTAACCATGTTTTCTTAAACAATGCAAATCATTAGGTTCCAACATTATGACTGACAATCATTGTGTTCTGTGTAAGAAGTGAGGAAATATCTGAAAGAATATCTGCGTGTTTCATACCTTAGCAATTTCAGAAATGTATGCATTGTTGCTAGGTAATGGTGTGGGCAGATGTGAAACTCAATCTTTTTCATAAAGTTAATTTTTTCGTGAAACTCACTTCTTTTTCATAAAGTTATTTTTTTAAATTTTTTTTGAAACAGGGTCTTGCTCTGTCACCCAGGCTGGAGTGCAGTTGCACAATTTCAGCTCACTGCAACCTCTGCCTCCTGGGCTCTAGTGATGCTTCTACCTCGGCCTCTCAAAGTGCTGGGATTACAGGTGACATGGGCTACCATACCCAGTCATGAAACTCACTTCTACGTGACAAAGTAGGTACTCCTCATTATGCTATGCAAGGCCTTTATGGTCTTCCCAGTGTCCGTCTCCATCCTTTCTTTCCCTATATTCCAACCACAAAATTGCTTGTATGTCTGCAAATGCAGCAGTTCCTCAAGTCTGTATGACTTTTCACCTTCTGTTAACTCTTTGTAAAATTTCTTCGGCCGTCTTCTTCATCTTAACCTGAAAAATAACCTACTAGTCCTTCCTGATTCATCTCAAAGTCTGCTTCCTTGTCAAAACCTTCTTTTACCTGTACAGGCACCATTAAATGTTTACCATTTACATGTTAAATGTAGAGTTAAATGGACTTCCATTGTTCCTACGGCTATTATAATCAATATCCACTGACTGTAATGATTTCTTTGCAATCTATTGCCTTGGCTAGATTTGGCATTCTTCAGAAGTAGAAATGATGTACTACTAACACATCTGTTATAACATAATATATTCTGGATGCTAATAACATAATATATTCTGTATGCTTAAAAATGAGCATCCAGAATATATTATGTTATAACAGATGTGTAAAAAACACTCATTATGGTTAGTAAATATGTAAATGAATCATTGTAATATAGCTTGTTTAGCAAGTTACCACAGAAGCAAATAATCTCTAAATTAATAATCATTTAGCAAAAACAGAAATAGATCATTTATTGCAGTCCATGTTGTTGATCTCTAGGGAAGTCAATTGAAAGTATTCTGTTGAAGTTTTACTTCTCAATTTCCCTCTGCATTTCTCAGCTGAATGAATTTCTTGAGAGCAACATCATGGATGTGTTGTTAGTTCTACAATGATGAGTTTTATCAACAGTTACATGACATGGGCAATGAAAGGCAGAATGGAAGGTCCTTACATTATTAACAATTATAGACTAAATGTTTTTAATCAAGCCAGAAATGAGAGGTTTATAAAACAAAACAAACCATTCTTCTTGCTAAAATATTTTAGGTGAATACAGTTATTGTTAATAAAATATTATTTATGTTAACATGTGATAGGCTTGTATTACTACAAATCAAAAAATAAATTTATTATAAATATCTCAGTTTTAATTTCTAATAAGATAAAACAGAGCTTTGGTTCCAAGACCATATAGTCTGACTACTGAGGAGATAGCACCGTATAATAGGCTGTCTGATCAACACATATACCACATTTTGAAGGACAGCGTCCCAGAGTTCAGGATATCAACTCCAAGCGGATGCTAAAACTGGACCTTCTGATCCCTTTAATCCTTTGCTAAGCCTGTTCTGGCATCTGCACCTAATTTTCTGCAGACCATTATCCTCTCCAATCTTCAAGGGGCTATTATTCCAGCAATGTATTAGGAAAGGCTCTATGGGTGTTTGCCAGGTTAAATTTTAAGTCATATGAAAGTTTCCTTTTTACCAGTAAATTATCTCCTATCTAAGCTTATATTTTTCCCTTCACCATCCTTGGTCCCGTATCCTTATTTCAATTTCCAGGCATTTTTATCTTGGTTTCCTAAGTACACAGAAGCCATATCCCTCAGCTATTTTGGTAATAATTCATTTCCTCCCACAGCAGCAATGTAATTCCTCACCTGGGCTGTACTGATAATTGACCCTAGTTATTGATCTAGAAACAATGAAGGGAGCCAAGAGTAATTTATGAATAGTCAAAAACCATCTTGCATGGCATTTTTCTTAAGCAATAGTATTCAGGTTGTGGTATCCTCTTCTTTACTAGCGAGGGCAAGGTGCTGTTTCTGAAAACCTGGAGGGGTCGTGAGACTCCAAAGTTCAAAGTTCCTAAGAGCATTCAGGAAGTTCAAAATTCCTAAGGTCAACAGCCCACAGAGATTTTCATCTTAAGTTTCTAGTTCCTACTGCTACCATTTTAGCACTTTGGGTTTTTATATAGGGGACATTTTAAGCTATGAAGTCAATCTCTTTGTAACTCCACCATTTTTAAGATCAAAGCTTAGGCATGACTTGTAGCATCGTCTGTCTTCTGGCTGTGGGATGCATAGGTTTCTCTGTAGCTCTACAGATGCCTGTAGGCTTTCTGGCTCCTACAGCTTGCTACGAGTTGATGGCTAGCTATCCCAAACTGTAATTTTCTTTCTTTAAGATGTCTAGGACATTGGACAAAACTATTTTAATTCTAGAATCTTTACAATTTGCAATTGCACTACTATCTTTTCAGTGCTAGAGAAAGCCCATAAGCTAATGTTATACATTTCCAGTGCTAGAGTAAATGCATGATCCCTTCAACCTGCACTTGACCCACCACAGGTGAGCATCTTAGTAATTGTGAGGCTGCAGCCCACCAGGCTTATTAGGACCTCACTTACCATCAGCAGGAGGATGCCCCTTGTCATTGACTGACAAGTGATTCAACTTCAGAATCGTATTCTGAGAATAACCATCTGGGGCCAATTTTGGTGGCAATTGTCTAAAAAGCACATCTTCAGGCAAGGAGTCAAGTATAAATAGTTTTTGCGGGAGGTGAACCCACGAGGCACACATGGACAGTGGGAAGGTGAGACAGGAAGAGAAAAAAGGCCAGTAAAGTTTAGGTGAATGAATGGGTTACCACTATGGAAAACTAAGGCTCCATCTTCCTAGAGACCTTCCAAAAGGCCACACAGAGCATGTCTCAGGAGTGTCCCACTCTGGGCAAAAAAACCCTGGTGTTTATTTACCAGCTTCTGTGCTGCTTTATTGCTTGGAGCAATAACTCACCTGGCCTGTCCTACTGCAGGCTGAGCTCATACCTGTATCCAGAGCTGCAGGCAGAAAGGGGTACAGACAGTTGAGGCAGAAAACCATGAATGTGTGTGTGGGAACTGCCCCCTGGTGCTCCAGGTGACCTTCAGGGTGGGCTGAAGGATGTGAGCATGGCATTGAAATTTTGAAAGTTAGGCATGGGAACTTGGCCCTGATGTGGTAAAGAGCAGAGATTCAGTAAATATTTTTGCACAATTTAGCATCTTGAAAGTAGCGTTTTTAGGCACCTGTATGGCAGTATAATGGAAGTTACTTTAGAGTAGGTAGAGACTTAAGGCAGTGATAATGGTCCATGTCTGAAGGCCAGAGAGGCTGCAATAAGGCATTAGTAGTTACAGGGCAGTTGCAGAACAAATACAGAGCATCGTTTACACTTCTCTTTCTTTCACTACTATATACTATTCCATGCTAAGAATGTACTGTATTATCTCACAAATACAGCAGAGAGCATCAAAAAGGACAGGTGCAGGAGAAAGTATACGGTATATGCCATACAAAGGTAAAAGCATGCCACTTACATATAGTTTAGAAGACACGTATTGTGTGATGTGGATGGTAAAAGTACAAAGAAGCTTAGAATAATAAATTCCAAATTCAGGACATTAATTAGCTTCTGAGGGACAGAGAGGAGATATAATTGGAATTGGGAAGTGGTTCTTTGTGGCTTCAACCATGTTGGTATTGGTTTATTTCTTAAGCTGGGTGGTGGGTACATTGTTGCTTCCTATGTAATTATATTTTCTGGCATTTCTAAATGAATGCAAGATATATTTTAAAACATGTTAAAGCATGTAACTTGATGACTTAGGGGGTAAATAGGAGAATGAGAACTAGTTAAGTTGATTCCACAGGTTCTTTTTTTTTTTAGCAGGATTTTTTGTTTTGCTTTTTGCTTTTGATTGTATTTGACAAATCATAGTTGCATATACTTATGGGCCACAAACTGGTGTTGTGATTTGTTGAATACAAAGTAGAATGATTGAATTAAGTGAATTAACATATATCTACTCAAATACTTCACTTACTTTGTAATGAGAGCACTAGAAATTTCCTCTCTTGAGAGGCATAGTACACAATTGTCAGCTATATTCAGCATGCTGTTCTATTGATCTTAAAAAATCAACTTAGGGTTTTTATAATATGATTTTAAAAGTGATTATTTTTACACATGCACATATAGGCATATATTGAAATAAGACAACAGCAAGGAAACAGGTCTCGTGTTATATCTTTCTCGCTGTCTATATTGAAGCCCTAATAAATAACATTTGAATTAACTAGTGAGTTGTAATTTTCATTTGCAAAGGAGGATTATAGAAGGCAAAATCACAGAATTTAGAAAAATAAATGATTAAATAAAGTAATTTTTACAAAACTGTGTTCAAAAATAGCTATTTTTGATGCATTTTCTATTAAGATGCATTTTCCTGAAAGGAGCCAGTCATAGAGCTGCAGCTAAACCTTCTGAACAGGTTTTTATCATCAGCAGCTCCAAGGGGGAGCTGTGACCCTTCTTTCTTGTACCAGTTTTCCAGGAATAACAGCATAATCTGCCTCTGTTCTTACACAGTACAGCTAAAAATGACTACTTACACAATAGTGCATGATGAATGACACCACCAGTGAATGACAACTACAAAAGAAACAGTATCAGTGTATTTTCTGCTAGTTGTGGTTTCTTTTAACCACGGCCTGTCTCTGCTCTCACTGACTGTTAGTGACGTCAAAGCAAAATGCCCATGCTAAGGGAAAAACGGAAAATAACTCTGAGAACATACTGGGTTTCTTCACTTGCAATTAAATCCTTCAACGTAATGATGTACCAAGGCGTACCAAGAAAGAAAAGTACTCAAATCATTTTAAGAGCACCAGTGTTTTCTCTGAGTATTTGTGAAGTGATGCTGAAGACAGCAATGCAATTCCACAAGAAGAAAGTCCTGACTATGGAGTTTTTATAAAATGAAAGTCAAACCTGTTTATCCCTTCCAAAATTTATGTGCTACCTCCCAAGGGCAACGTCATTTGCCATATCGGTGGACTTTGAATTTTTGCTGTAAGTTTTATGGGAAGGAGGGACTGCATTTAGTAAAACTTAAAAACTTAAACTACTTTTTTCTTTCTTGCTTTTTTTTTTTTTTTTTTGCAGCCAAATAAAATGGAAACTTAGTACATTTGCTGAGAAGACATGTCTGGGGTTCCTGGTTAGTTTGTCACAAGACAAGTAAGAAAG